GCTCAAGGAGAGTTTATCACTGGTGGCCAAAACTGTTCAGCAATACTTTTTAGGGTGATGGGCAGGACTGCTCCTCTCAGCCCTTTGGATGCTATTCTGAGACTCTATCCACCTTCTACTTCCTCTACACCAAATAAAGCTCCTTGCATAGTATGTGTGCAATAAATGTAACTTTTATTAGCAGCAACACATGCTGCTACAGAGGAACAGATCGGCTCAAAGGATAGCAGTAAGGCACCCCCAGCACTGCAAGGTAGGCAACCAAACTGCTACGTTATTCATTCACTTCCATTCACTCCATTCCCATCCCCCCTTTTAAGCCTCTAGACTGAACATAAATACCTTTATTGGGGGGGGGGGTATTTGCTATAGAAAAAAATCAGAGGGCTGTTCACAAGTCCCACCTTAGCAAGATGTTATGCTCAGATGTGATGTTGCAGTATATTACAGAAGTCAACGTATTTTATGTAGGGAAGCACATTTTCCTTTCTTACAATACATTAGACATTCATTTAATGTTTCAAGAGCTTTACTATTCAGAAGCATCTCCTGTCTGTATTAACAACCTTTTGAGTCTGATAAATTAATATAAGTACCATTCTGGGTTTTTAAAAAATCTATTCTTCCTTAAAAACTATTCTCAAGCATTATTAATGCTAGGAGAGTTACCATTTTTATTCGGATTTCCTCCTAGATTTATATCAGCATCCACTTATTTGCCATCAGTAATTACCTCATAATGCTAGAGAAATATTAACTGTAAAAGAAAACTGCAAGAGCAATCCAAATGCTTTTTGTCCAAATACATATAGTAAAGCATAAACCCTCCACTTTTCTTAAATGAGAAGCTGATGCAGGAGAATACAATCCTGAACAGAGTACCTTTGGGCTAGGGGCTCTTTCTCTCCAGGTGATTTTTCCCCTGCATAAATTGCATGCCTTTCAAGCTGCTTATCTCCAGTCCCCACAGGGCAAAATACACTAAGATCTGTTATCTTTCTCCTACAGGGAAAAGCAACTGAGGGATAATACTGAGCATTTAAATGGCCTTAAGAGAAAGGATTAAGTAAACCACCTTCCCTTAAAACTGTTCTGCTGTAGACGGTAATCACTACTAGCCACTTTTCACTATTATTTTTTAAAGGTGGGGTGTGATCATTTGGAACTAGAGCTACTATCACCCCAATGTATAGTCAGCTCTGACATCAATGAAGGGGGATAAGTGGGATGCTCCTCATATCCCAAACAGATCAGTACTGCAAGCGCTTCTGATCAGCATGCATGTAGAGACCCAGAGCAAAGGAGTGTATCCATTCCTACAGAGGACTACAGATGAGTGTTCTAGTATTCAATTGTCTTTTTAGTATCCCTGTCCCATATTTTGTTTTAATTCAAGCACTTCCCCAATCCATTATCAGTGAATCATAGTGTTACATGGAAGGAATTCTGTATAAAGACAACCCTATTTTTACTTGCACACATCCTGTAGCTTAAAGTGCACAAAACTGTATGATGGTGGTTTTAAATGCAGCTTATAGGGCTGTGTTTATGATGTCTGCAAGCATGGTCTCCCGATTACCGGTATGCTGTTTAATGACAACACAATCCATGCACTATTAATATCAAATTAAAAGAATTCCAAAATGGGGTGATATTTAGAAAATGCAGGATCAAAAGGGTAGATAATACATCTAAATACATACAGTATAGAAGAGTCACAATTTTGAACAGACCCACTATAACGTAATATGTGAAAAGCATTTAAAACAAGTATTAGAAGGCAATATTTTTATTCCCTGAGCATTACATACCCATTTTAGGCCATTGCCCTACACCTGAACAACAGATTTATCCATTTTATAATAGAACCATTAGCTATTATAGTATGAGAGTGCTATGCTACAAATTATCTTAAAGGTGTTCAAATAAGATACAGTTTTTGCTACAGTACTTGGCTGTATTATTGCAACAACCATTATTTCTGGAAACATTGTGCATATGTTTCTTCCTTGTAGACTTAAAGAAAATTCAGCAGAAGCAGCAGCAGATTTGTTTTTAACTTTAAAACTGATTGATAAACTGCTGAAGAAGTCACTGACAGGACTTTAGAACTAATAATCCTTGAAAGCAAATCATTTAACAGTAAAAGGTCAGTACTAATACTCAGACATACAGGGACATATGCATTTTCATGCACAAGTTTATTTTTGTGCATTACACAAGCCTAGTATGCTAGCAGCTACCTGCCCTCATATAACCACCATGCATAGGTTGCTATATGCATGCTGCTCAAGGAAATTTCAAGCATGCTAAAGAGGGAGTTACAAATTCACTGGCATAGTTATTTGTATGGCAATTCCTCAACTACTTTCTGCAGCTGTACTCATATATACACTGCATGATAATTGGAGTCATCCAAGATGATGATGGATATTTTTGTTCACAGTGCATTAACTTTTATTAGTGTGCCATACACACCAAATGAAAAGGAACATTTCCTTCCTATGAACACCACACCAAAAAAAAAGTTCATAATTAGCAGATCTGTTTAATGGCACCCTGTTGTAATTTTGCAGCTTAAGTCCTATTGCCTTTCACAGCAGTTTTTAGCAAACCAAAAGGGAAAAAAGAGAGAAAGCTCTTTTTTGGCAGCACTTTTAAGGCAATAGCCAACAACACACCATAGGCTGCAACAAGACATCCCTCCCCCCCCCATCACCTCTGGCAGCCTCCCTAACCCTGCAAAACAAATTTGGGAGGCACAGGAGGCTGCAGAAGAAGAAATTTTATTGCACAGGCAGAATTCTGTTGCACAAGAAGGATGACACTCCTTACGCTAAAGTTTATGACAGAGTACAGAGGAGTGTGGTGTATTGCATTTACATCCGGAGGCTTCCTGGGAAAACCAGAGAGATCTGTCACAATCACAGTATTAAGGCTCATAAATAGGCTTACAGTTCCAAACTAATTATTGCTTTATTATCAAATCATTACTACTTCAGTCCTGTAAACACACACATACAGCCATATAATTTTTCAATAGAGTCCCCAAAAAGGTCAAACAAGAGAACTTTAGTGACACTGGATTCATTTCAATACATCATGTGTAAGTCAGGAATCCATCTGTAGTAATTAGTGGCAGGCATGAGAAATCCAGTGCTTCATTCAAGTAAGAATCAACACTAACAAATAGTAATCTCTCAATCTTTTTTCCTATATGCTATTTTCTTCCTCAAACACACCACCAAATCAGTTTCTCAAGAACAAAACATATTTTACCTCGTAAAATATTCTAGCCACTTTTTCTCTCAATATGAGATTAATTCCATAATATATCAATATTCCAACATTTGTTTACACCTCCACTGCAACATAGCTATGAGTAGCAATCTCTTCAGTGATAAGCCAATGTAATGTACAGTATATAACATTGCACTGTCACATCTTTTTGGCTCCTCACTGAGAAGCAGAACATGTCCTACTTTGAAACCATTTGTTCTATTTCACACTTTGCCTGTACAAGCTGAAGCAAGCATAGAAGGACAATGAAAACCTGTCTTCACAGAATACCCTTAAATGTATGTATGCACAATGAATCCATGCAAGGTTGCAGTGAACATTAAGAGCATTATATGACTATAATGAAGAGTGAAGAACACACACATGCCTGCAATATTAGCACTAACAAGGAAACCAGAAACAAGTTGTCAGCTATAGCCTTTACTGAAAGGGGGGATGAATACAGGCACTGCCTTGAGGATCTAGGAGGAAAGACAGGCTACCGATACAATGACAACATAAAATTCCACTGAGCAGCATAAGTGTTTTGAAATGGGAGTTAAGAGGTAGGGTTGCAGTTTAGCACTGATCATCAAAGTCTGCCATGATTGCTCCATAGCCATTGCCTCTAAATAGGTAAGAAAGGTGAACAACAACAAAGCACAGTATCATAAAAATGTTCGTTATGAAATTCACATGCATAGACCACCTACACTGCAATAAAGGCAACTGTGTAGGTGGCCATCTGGACAGACGCCATAAGGAACAGGTTCAAATAACTATGTACATTGTGATACAGGAATGAGCTGAGCTGGCAAACAAGACGAATTGAAAGGGACTATGATTATGACTATCAGCATCAACTCTGTAGCTGGCACTCCACTTGTTCCTCTGCTCTTGCTTAGCACAGGCTATGTTAATCCAAAGGGACAGTGCGACTACAGATACACTGAACACAAGCAAGGTTCATTGGTGTGTGCAAAGCATGCGTGTGAAGGTGGGAGGAGAAAGCCGGCTTGAGGTATGTGGCACTTTAGGGGGACAGCCATAGGACCCAACTCCTAGGGCCCCAAGGTCCTTTTGGCCCACCTCCCAATAAAATTGTTGATGGGTGTTGCCGTTCGAAAGGTGTGCATGCGCCACATCAGTTATGCAGGCGGAGCTTACCTCCCCCCGATATTTCATTCACCCTGCACTCCAGGACCCACATGAAAGGAGCGGGTGACTTTCGGCGATGGCCAAAAACACGATAGACTGGCAAGGCAAGGGGACACGCCTACGGTTACAGGGCAACATTCATGCCTTTATCAGTATTATGGGCTGGGCAGGGCAGGGCGAAGCAGGTGCCTCAGATATGTAACCAGAGAGGGAGGAAGAATGCATGGAGGTTTCTGAAGGGGGGGGGCAAGCACAACGAGATCCAGAAACCTCAATCCCCCCATAGGAGCCTGGAGGCACATTTCCACCTTCGCCCACCCCCCAAATAAAATATTTGAAGGAGCCAGAGAGCCCCCCCCCACACACACACAAAGGGGATGACCATTGCCATTCAAATGGTGTGTGGCCTTGTGATCGATTATGCAGGGCGGGACTTACCTGCGCGACCCCCCCCCCCACCCCTTGATATTTTGGCACCACCCCAAATTCCCCCCTTCCTTCCTCCCCACCTTTTGTGGAAACGGAGGAGAGACCCTCACACCGGGGAGGGAGGCCTCACTTACGTGTAGATGATGGACATGAAGTGCATGAGCCACAGCACCAGGAAGAGGATGAGCCCGAAGATGGCGAGTCCCTCCAGGGCCAGATCCAGCACCGCCATCCCCGCCGTGGGTCACACGCGGGGAGGAGGAGGAGGAGGAGGGGGAGTCGGTCCTCCTCAACACGAGCAGCGGAAGAATCGGCAGCGAGGAGGCCCCTCCCACTCGCCGGCTGCCCTCACGTAGCCCCTCAGGCGGACGCCCACCCGCCTCCTTCCCCCTCTGCCTCGCTCCTTTCCCCCGCCGCTCCTCCTCCTGCTGCTTCTTCGCCTGCCAGGCCGCTTCCTCCCCTGACGGCGGCCGCTTCTCCCTTCCTCTCTCCCCCTCCCTTCGGGCTCGCTCGCTCTCGCCCCGCCGCCGCCGCCGCCGCCTCCCGCTTAGCGCTACTGCTACTCCTGCTCCTGCTGCAGCCCGCTCGCTCCCGCGCGCAACTGACTGCCTCCCCGCTGAGCCAAACGGACTTGCCTCGCGCCCTTCGCCCCGCCCCGATGCTGTCAGCCTCCGAAGCCACGCCCCTCCCCTCTGCCCCTCCCTTTCTTTCTTTCCTTTCCCCTCTCTCTCCGTTTAAGTTTCTCTTCCCCAGGCGCTGCTGACGTCATCGCCGTCCGCTTCAAGGGAAGCCCCGCCCCTCCGCCGCGTCACAGGGAGGGGCGGGGAAAGGCCACAGAGAGAGAGAGAGAGTGAGTGAGGGTGAGTCACCGCGGGCGGGAAAGGGGGCGGTGATGTCATCCGCCGCCGGACTGGGCGGCATTCAGCCCGCTCGCGTGGGGAGGGGAGAGGGGTGCGCGCGGGAGGGGAAGGACAAGCAGGAAGGGCTTTGGGGTTTTTTTTTTTGTCCTTTCCGTCCGTCACAGTGCCAGGTCTCCACCGCCCCACCTTTCCCAGATTTTACGCACATGCACACACATTTTAATATATCTGTACACAAACACGTACATGCACACGTGTGTGTGTGTAGACACACACACACACGTATATTCATGGGAGTAGCCAGGGGTCGGGAGGGGTCAGCTGCGCCCCGGAATCAAGTAGATAAATAAAAATACTTGTGGAAAGATTTGGGCAGATTTTTCTGGGCACTTGGGGTCAAAAGCGTATGGAAGGAAGCACTTGTGTTTTTTCTTTCTGTCCCTCACAGCGTCATGTCTCCGCGCCCAACCTTTCCCTGATTTTACACACATAGACACATACATGGGCATAACGGGGGGGGCAGGTGCTGACCCCCCTAAATCAATACAAATCTGAGGTTCTCTCCCCCCCCCCACACACACAGAAAGCCTGGCCCTCCCTAATAAAAATCCTGGCTATGCCCATACATACATACACACACACGTATTTTATATATACCCACACAAACACATTCTCTTGATGGCTGTAGTAGCACAACCCTCTCTGTTGTAGCAAGAGAGCAAAGAGCAAAAGGAAGCACCTGTGCCGTTCCAGAAATTAACAGAAATCCCACAAATCAATTAAAGGAGAAGCCTCATATAGCACTGTAAAAAGTCTTGAAGGGGGCAGACAGAAAGGTGAGTTGGTGGGTAGTTTTTAAAGCAGGAAACCCCACACCACACATGCAAATCCCTCATTATATCCTCTGTAAGGGAACCCTTTCCAGCGCAGAGCCTCCGACAAAGAAAAAGTGGATTGTTTGCTGTAGCAAAACTCATGGTGTTGCAATGGCACATTTAAGCTTAGTGATTAATATGGGTGAGATGCTTTTCTGGAACTCCTACTTCTTCAAAAGATGTGGCAAATGGGATAGGATGGTAGATAAAGCTGGTGAACTTAAGACAAGCCTGCTGGCTTCGGTCAATGGCTTGTCTGGTTCAGTTCCCCTATACATCAGGCTGTGAGGGGTGTATGTGGATTAGGTGTCCTTTCATCCAGCTTAGCCAATCTCCTTCTGGCTGCCAGACATGCAGGCAGAAGGCCCACTGGTGCAGTGATTGCTTCCAGATAGGGTTCGATCCTACTGCCGTCTTGTCTTTTTTTGCCATGGCTGCCATGAGCAGCAGGCCAGTGGATGGAGAAGTGTTTTTCCAGCAGGAATGGGAGTTAGAATCGCTTCCTTGGTCATGCTTAGCGCAGACCCACTGAAATCAATGGAACTTAAGACTGAAACCCTAAGCCCACTCACTAGAGAGAAAGTTCCACAGAAGACATGCCTAGGATTGCGCTATAAATTGGTCATTCTAAGCATAACGATAAGTCTAGATTCAACCCGCTGAACCCAAGCTGTTTCCTTATCATTGCGTTTCAAAATCAAAATTTGTCTGAAATATCCTTTGTGGTTGAAACAGAGAGGAAGTACATCATCAGTTTCAGTCTCCCACATTAGGCAATAGCTTGCTTCTAAAAGGACAGAAGAGAAGAAAACCACACAGGTTTCATTCAACAGCAGCCAGCTTCTGGAACACACTGAGTTAGTAGAGTAAGACTGAAAGTCCTTATCCCGTTCTTGTTGCATCCTCTAAACGGATTGCTCCAAAGGAGTCAGGAGCCTTTATGTATATGCTTCCACCACCACTACTATGGCTGTTGTTAACAATATACTGTAGTAAGAAGTGGGAAGTTTCCTTGTACAAAGCAGTTATATATCTCCAGTTTCAAACTGTAAGCCCTTCTCTGAACTCCAGTGCTGCTTTTTTCCATTTGCTTCCCACTTTCAGCTCAAGAAGTTTAGACAGCAGCTTTGGAATTTTGCAGAGACAATTTCTCAAAAGGAAATGGCATTGTCAGAAAGATGGGAGAAGGAGGGGCCAGGGAATTGTGAGTTCTGAGGATTGAGTATGATGGCTGTGGAGGAACAGGAAGAATGGTGGTAGGATGGTTCACAAAACACCTTATCAAGACAATAATTTTGAGGAAGAACTTGAAAAGGGAGAGGAGGTATGAAAGATAAGAGATTGGCTGTTGCAAGCAGAAGGAGCACCAGAACAGAAAAAGGAGTTGACGTAGAAAGAGGAGGCAAAGTTCCAATTATAGATGGGGGGAAAGAGCAAAACAAAGGCAAATTAGAAAAGGTGTCCAGTACTATAAGCCAAGAGAAAGTTCAGAAAACGGGCAACCAAAATAATTAACAGGCTGGAGCAACTCACCTATCAGGAAAGGTTGCAAATAGAAACGGGCAACTCTGTCATTTTTAGTTTCTCTCTGTTTCTTGTTTCTCCTATCTTAAAAGTTCAGCTCTCCACATTACCACAGCAGTATGATTCTTTTAAAGTCCTTACGAAAATGAACCAGGATTTCAGTGTGTCTCCTAAAGTACACATTTTTGTATGCATTTTTGCCCAATATACACATTTTTGCACAGCATATTTCCCCTAATATTTACATTTCCCATAGTAAAATGCATTTCTGCACGTGCTTTTCACTAACATATATGCATTCTATGCACACTTTACCTTAGTATGTTTTGGTACTTATTAGCTGGAGAACTGTATTGCAGAATTTGGAAAACTACTAATTTTGAACGATGGTTGTGTTTTGTTTTGTTTTGCATTTGTTTCAGAAGGTGTGGATTGGGTAGACTGACCTTTAGTTGTGAACTGAATCAAATCTCCCCCCCCCGCCCCCCGCCCCCGGGCAATCCATAGCTGCAACATGTGGGACTTTTTGTTTAGAGAAAAGGGAAGAAAGAGGGGACATGGAAGTGGTATATAAAACTATGCACTGTGTAGAGAAAACAGATAGGGAGAGGTTTCTCTCCTCCTATAATACTCAAAATTAGGGACATCCAGTGTTGGAAAATGTAGGACAAACCAAACAAAGCAGTTTTTCACACAGTGCACAGTTGAACAATTCACTCCTACAAGACATAATAATGACCACCAACATGGATGGCTTTAAAAGATGATTAGACAAATTCGTGAAGGATAGCCTTTGGGATACCTCAGCCGGTAAAGCCCGAGACTATTAATCTCAGGGTTATGGGTTCGAGACCCAGGCTGGGCAAAAAGATTCCTGCATTTCAGGGGACTGGACTAGAGGATCTTTGTGACCCCTTTCAACTCTACAATGCTATGATTCTATGCTGGAAACGGCAAGTGGGGAGGGTGCTGTTGCACTCAGGTCTTGCTTCTGGGCTTCCCATAGGGATCTGGTTGGCTATCTAACATCATTTATACTCCCGATACTGAAATCAATTATAAAACTTATAAAGAAAGAAATTAAAAATGACTTCCAATTAATCTCACTGTGTGTTATATTTGGTTATTCTAATTTTGTTGTTTCTTATATTGTGGTTAAGGGACACGGGTGGCGTTGTGGGTAAAAGCCTCAGCGCCTAGGGCTTGCCGATCGAAAGTTCGGCGGTTCGAATCCCCGCGGCGGGGTGCGCTCCCGCTGCTCGGTCCCAGCGCCTGCCAACCTAGCAGTTCGAAAGCACCCCCGGGTGCAAGTAGATAAATAGGGACCGCTTACTAGCGGGAAGGTAAACGGTGTTTCCGTGTGCTGCACTGGCTCGCCAGAGCAGCGATGTCACACTGGCCACGTGACCCGGAAGAGTGACGCCTCTTGAGTGAGATGGGCGCACAACCCCAGAGTCTGTCAAGACTGGCCTGTACGGGCAGGGGTACCTTTACCTTTTTATATTGTGGTTGTTTGTTTGACTTCATTATTTGTTTGTTTGTCAGTTTCCCCATAAATGTATTTATTTTAAATCAATAAAGATATACTTTAAAAGGGGGGAGGGTCTGGTTGGCTATCATGAGACCACGATGCTGGCTCGATTCAGCAGGGCTTTTCTTATGTTTTTAAGAGAGGAGAAACAGTTCTGGGCTGGGGAACTTTGTTCATTCTTGATGGGAAATCTAAAGCCAGTGTCACAGATATATCAGGAATAGCCACCGACTTACTGATATATCCGAATTGCATGTCCAACTGCATACCATTTTTGTGACTGTGACAGATGCCAATCTGTAGCTGGTAGAGATGTCTTAAAATAGAACACTCTTTGAGCCTCATGTTGTTACCAAGCTGACGTACTGCTTCATAAAATAGCCGTCTTCTAGGCCTGTCCTGCTGCATGGCTCAAGGAAGGGTCACCTGACCACCAACTCTTATAGATGAATCCATGCAATCTAGATCTCGGGTTGGGAGGGGGGAGCAAGAAGGCATTATGTTCTTGCCAACTCAAGCAAGCCAGCAAGCCAACGTATTTCACTACGCAAAGCACACCCCTCTGCCTACCTAGGATGAATTAATTCGTAAATCATCTAGAATGCAATTCTTTCCATCAATGAATACCAGCATCGCTTTATTTGTATGCTACCTTTTCCACACACACAAAAATTCGGCTCAAGCGGCTTACAACACTGAGACCGATACATCACAAAATCTACCGTGAAGAATTTCATAGTAACAGCAGTAATAAGCAGCAATATATTCAAAATGTAACAGCATACAACAACAGCGTTTCAAGACTAAAATGTAGCA